GGCCCGGCGTGGGCTAACTCCCCAGCTGGCCACTGGCTCCTCTAGGCGCCTCTTGCTGGCTTCAAGTCGCTAGGTGGCGCCAGAGATCTTCTCCTGAGCCCTTGGGGAGCTGATTTTCCACCCCGTGGACAGGGAATAGAGCTGGAATGGTAGGGTAAGCCTCAACGGCTTTGGGGTGCTGTGTCTGCCTTGTGCCCCACCGTCGTGGGGAACCCACGCCCCTAGTTCGTTGCCCCGGGTGTCAGTTCCCAAAGCCCCTCAGTTCCAGGACTCGGCTGTAGCCCAGTTCAGTGGCGCGGGAATGGCGCCTTTTGAATCCCGCCCCGTGCCTGGGCGCCTGGCCTGCTCACTCAGTGAGGGCCTCCGCGCGTCTCCCCGCAAGCCTAGGTCGCAGGCGCAGGGACCTGGGCAGCTGCGATCCGGATCCGCGTTTGCTTTTCAACTGCACTGCTTTTCCGCGCGCGATCCCGATTCCCATCCGCACTTGGTTTTCCAGCGAGCTGCTGTTCCGCGCAATCCTGACCGCGATCCGCGCCTGTTTTTCCAGCGCGCCGCCTTTCCGCGCAAGCTTACCGGGTGGCCCGGGGCTGTGTGCTGGGGCTGGTCTCCTCCCCGGGGGCGGGGCCTCTCTTCAATGGCGTCCAGAGCTGGTGCTGGTCTCCTCCCCGGGGGCGGGGTCTCTCTTCAATGGCGCCCGGAGCCATTCGCTCACCTCCGCGGTGGATCCTGCGGGGTTCTCCACAGCTCCCGTTCACGGGGTGTGGTGGCTGCAATAGTTCCTTTCCACTCACAGTTCCCGCTTGCTGCGTCGTTTGTTCTTGTGGTCGTTTTGGTTTGTTGTTCCTCCTCTCTGCCGGTCGGAGAGTGCCGCCTCTGTGGGCGGGGGAGGGAGCAGGGTCCTCTGCGCTTCCTCCCTTCTAGTCCTCTTTTATGGCCACTTTCTCTTCGGCAGTTCGCTGGCGTCACCCGTTTATCTTCCGGTCCCAGTTCTCACTGGACCTGCCGCTTTTCCTCCCTATTAACTTTTTTTAATGGGAGATCTTACTCGCAGCGTCTCCTCGCCGCCATGTTGCTCCGCCCCCCTCAAGAAAAATCTTGCTAGTTTTTTTTAATATGTGCCATTCTCATATTAAATGAGATGGTATCTCATTGCAGTTTTGATTTGCATTTCCCTGATTACAAGTGATGTTGAACATTTTTTCATATGCCTGTTGGCCATTTGCATTTCCTCTTTGGAGAAGTTTCTTTTTAGTTCTGCCCATTTTTTGACTGGATTATTTACTTTTTGTTGAGTTTCATCAGTTCTTTGTAGATTTTTGTGATCGGTCCTTTATCACTAGTGTTGTATGCAAAAATTTTCTCCCAGTCAGTGGGGTTTCTCTTTGTTTTGGTTATTGTCTCTTTTGCTGTGCAGAAGCTCTTTAATTTGATGCAGTCCCAGCTGCTTATCTTTGCCTTCACTATCACTGCTTTGGGTGATGTGTCTGTAAAGATGTTTTTGAGGTACATGTTGTGTAGTGTTTCGCCTATATTTCCTTCTATATATTTTATGGTTTCAGGTCTTATGTCTAGTTCTTTAATCCATTTTGAGTTGGTTTTTGCTCATGGTGTGAGGTAGTAGTCAAGCTTCATTCTTTTGCATGTAGTGACCCCGTTTTCCCAGCACCATTTATTGAACAAACTTTCTTTGCTCCATTGCATATTCATTGCTCCTTTGTCAAAGATTAGTTGACTGTAAATCTGTGGGTTTATTTCTGGATTTTCTATTCAGTTCCATTGGTCCATGTGTCTGTTCTTGTTTCACTACCATGCAGTTTTGATTATTATGGCTTTGTAGTATAGTTTGAAATCTGGGTGTGTGATGACTCTTCTCCCTTCTATTTTTTTCAGGAGAGCTTTGGCTATTCAGGGTTTTTGGTGGTTCCATATGAATTTCATCAATATTTGTTCTATTTCTTTGAAGAATATTTATTGAAATTTTTTTTCAAATAATTCTTAGTATCTTTATTTTATTTTATTTTATTTTTATAGAGGCATGTTTTACTTATTTATTTATCTGTTTGTTTGTTTTTGTTTATACATGCACTGGGTACAGTCAGAAGCACGGGAGGGTAAGAGAATTCACCAGAGCCAGAGCAGGGAGCAGAGCAGGCAGAAGGACCGAAGTACACTGCTGAGGGGAGCAGTGGGCGGCAGGAGGGGTCTGCGCGCCATGTGGGACCCTCCTCAGGTGGCCGGGGAGCAGCCAGGGATTGAACCGGTGCCGCAGAGGCCGCGGGCAGCTTTGCAACCCAGCGCTCAACCACTGCGCCACCGGAGAGGCCCTTATTGAAATTTTTATTGGAATAGCATTGAATCTGTAAATTGCTTTTGGTAGGATGGCCATTTTGATAATGTTAATTCTTCCAGTCCATGAGCAGGGGATATCTTTCCATTTCTTTGTGTCGTCTTCTATTTCTTTTAACAGTGTTTTATAGTTTTCTTTGTATAGGTAAACTTTTGTTAGGTTTATTCCCAAGTATTTGATTTTTTTTGATTCAATAATAAAAGGAGTGGTTTTCTTGATTTCTTCTTCTTCAGATTTATTGTTTGTCTATAAGAAGGCTACTGAATTTTGCGTGCTGATTTTGTATCCTGCCACTTTACTAAACTGATTAATTCAATTAGTTTTTCTGTGGAGTTTTTGGGGTTCTCTATGTATATTATCATATCATCTGTGAATAGTGATAGTTTTACTTCTTCCTTCCCTATTTGGATATCTTGTCATCCTATTTATTTGTGCTTTCTCCCATTTTTCCTTTGTGAGCCTGGCT